AAACATCTAACTCTAAACTTCTTATAAGCTTCAATAGATATAACCCAACAATATTTAAGATCATAGATTTTAAATATCATTTTTTTAAGGTCAAACTATATATGTCAGATAAATTAAAACGATGAAATATGAAACTAGAGTTTCCTTCTAGGATATGAATTATAAAACATGTATCACGGACAATAGTAATTTGCACATGGATTGAAAGATAAGAAGCATTAAGTGAGTATACCTACCCTCAACTAACAACTGCAAAAAACACTAAAGATACAGCATGTGCAATTTCATTCTACATCACTAAATGCAACTTTAAGAATGGCCTCTATGTAGTAGAAAGAAAATCAAGACATATATAACTACTTTTCAATGGGTCGGATAGGAGGTTTTTTTTTAATTAAAATTTGTTGAATTTAACGTCACGTTATAAAAAGAAAACTTATAGAAATCTTACTAGTTTAAGAGTTAATAATTTAGATACATTTAGTTTGTAATATTATGAATTTTAATAGATTTTGGTGTATGTACATGTATCTAACGATATATTGGGTTAAAATTAGAGATAATTTGTTTTAGATATACTGTATCAAAGTGGATACGCATGCATTTGGATACATGACAGATCTTGCTCGCCAGTTTCATATGTATCTTGTATTCAAGATACATGCAAATCACACCTGATTCATATAGAGTGTATTATATGTATCTAACATACATTATATTTTGTTAGTCTCTCTCACGAAAATAGTGTATATGATATTAAAAATACATATATGTGTATCTTTAATATATGATAAAAAAAATTTAATTAGTGATAAACTACGTAATTATTTAAGATGGATTAAGTAGAAAAGATAGGTTTTAAAACTACATATATAACAACTACACACTATAAAAATGTAAGAGTTTAAGTTTTATATAATTTGATATAGGAAATATTTATACAAAGTCAAGTTATTTAAAAGGTAATTACGAATAATTTTATTTAATAATAATATTAATTGACAACTTAAAGTAACTAGTAAAACTATCTAATACTAATATTAATTTATAATTTAAATAAATAGTATTCCCGTGACATATTAAATTTTAAGTAGTTCAAAATTTTGGAGGCTCCTATTTTTCCTACAAAAAGTTAGCAAGTCCGTGAATTATATGGATTGATGGCATAATTAACTTTTTTATATACATATAATTAAGTTGATTAAAAATAATTACAAGTAATTTTGGCTAATAATATTGATTGTAATATAGATAAATAGTAAGTAACCTGTATTAAATTACACTGATATATCATGTTAAATTATACTACAACAATCAAATTCTAGTAGAATGAAATGTAACATAATATTTTTCAGCTTTAAATTAATCGAATTATTATTAACTAGATAATCAAATCTTAATATATAATTCATGTTTAGTACAATAAGACTATTAGTTGGAAATTTGATCAAGAAGAACCCTATAACCTTTCTCAGTGAGATGATAACTATCCCAAAATAAATAATTTGCATCATTTTCGCATATTTTTGTAACGTTGTCACATAACAAATACTCATTCCTTCCTTGGCAACACGCACTCAATGCATCTTCAAAACCTAAAATTTATAAGTAAGTAGAAAAATTAGTCGATTAAAATATGATTGATGTAAAATTTATCTACGAATTGAAGAAGATTGGTGTTTAATATTGTACCGTATTTATTGTGTTTGGCGATAATATCGAGTAGAGGATCGTAAATATTGATATAAAGAAGCTCGATTTGAGGCAATTTTTTGTTTAATGAATGAATTTTATTTGATAATTTGGTATTTGCTATTCGAGCAGCTTGATTGTATTCGTTGACACAAATTTTAGATGGACCTCCACCTCGCAGTATTTGCGATGGCAAACACCCTATTGGTGGAAGCCCAAATATCCAAATTCTTCTTGCTCCCATATTGTACAAATCCTAAAAAAGAATAAAATAATAACAATCAAAATATATATATTATTTGAAATAAAATTATAATCATAAAATCGATTCAATGTTTGGGTTATATTTAAGTTCATGCTTCAAAGGGAAAAATGACAGATATATCCCAAAAAATCGTAAATAATATGCAAATATCCTTCATCATACTTTTGGAACTTTGGTGTTCCTACAGTTCAAAAACTAGAGCATATATATCCTTCGTACTAACACGACATACACGTATCATAATCTTATCCACCGATTCGACACTTATCGACGAATAAGATTGCGCTATGTGTCCCTATTTAGCCTTCCGTTAGAGTGAAGGACATATATGCTCTAGTTTATGAATGACAGGGGCACCAAAAACTCAATATATAATCACAAGGTGAAAAAAAGGAGAGGGAAATATAGGTATTATATATACTTACATTGATAAAATTGGAAGCTCCATCTACCATAAGATTTGTATATGAGTCAACATTGTATTGTATTTTCCTTGGAAATTTGAGCATGAAATATGTATTACATAGGTCATCACTTCCAGCAACTACTATATAAAGACTCTTTTTAACAATATTCTTTGTTGCTTCTTCACCAATAAATCCATTCATCTTCCAAATATATTGTTGAAAAAGTGCTAATTGTACTGATAGTGGTAAAGCTGACTAATTTACATAAATAAAAAAATAATATATATAAGAAAATATATAGGTAATCATTATTCACTAAAAAAAGGAAGTGGAATTAGTTGAGAACTTGTTTAGCTACTAAATTTATCTGTCGTTAATTCCTGTTATGTAAATAACTAGATAGAATAAGAAGTTACCGCGACAACAGGAGTTAAAAGGTCAAATCCAGAAGCTCCTGAAGCAAAACTTACTCCAGTTTTTAAATCTTCAACTTTTAAATTTGAATCTAGATAAGCTGGCATTAGCTTCTTAATCCCAAAATCTTCAACTGAAATAGAAAAAATATTAGTGATCATATGGTTAAACGAGTTATACAGATTTTAAATTCGGCATAAGTAATATTACATTTTATATAGTGTGTATACCTAACATGTCTGCTGGTGTCCTGGCATTGCTAAATCTTCCAGTTGGATTATTACCACCCATGAAATCTTTTCCATAAGGTAAAAAATTACACTTTGCATGAGTAATTAAATTGTTATTATTTCCTTGATCTACAATTGAATCTCCAAAGGCAAAAAGAGCCGTTATATTTATGTCCTTACGTAATTGCAACTTTGCTTCACATGAAATAAATAACATTATAAAAACAGCACATAATAAAGCCATTATTACTATTTTATGCAGTAAAAAAAATGTATAGATTTTTTTTCCAAGAAATTTGTGGTTTTTGAAAAATTAATAAAATATTTATATAGAGAGAGATAGGTTACACAAAAGAATACGTACGTCATATATAAATTGTTACGTTTGGGTTAGAATGGAAGTTAAAGACGTTGAGAACTTTCGTCATATTATGGGGGAACACGTTTCGTAAGAGTTTAATTTGTATGCATTGATACTGTAAAAATAGTATCGATTGTTGTATTTATTTTATATCTGTTAATTTTTTTATAATTTAGTGTTCAAATATTTATCTTTCAGAAACGATATTTCTACTATACAAAGATAGAAGTAAATTTGAAATGTGTATTGGCTCTCCACATGTCGATTTTAGTAGTAGGTCTCATAATAGATGATCACTCTTTTTCATTTTAGGTATTATATTTCAATGTTAATAGTTTATTCTCTATTACAGAATAGTATTATTAAATAGAATTATCTAAATATTTTTAAAATATCTAATTGTGTAAATATATCAAAGGTTATTAATGGATAGAACTTAAACTCGATTTCGATTATAGTTCATGTTAACTAATTAACACATTCTTGTGTTAACAAGAGAGAGTCGTGAAGGGAAAACGTGCTAATCAACAAGAAAAGTGTGATAAAAGAATTTGGATTAATTAGTTAAATCACCACCAAATACTCCTATATTTAATTTTTTATACATAGAAAAGTAAGTAAAGTAACTATCTAACTACTATAATATTCCTCAATACGACTTAATTAAACAAATCCATGCAATTAAATCTCATATAAGTGTTTTTTCATATATATAATAACAATATATTCAATATAATTTTAAGTATATATAAAGTAACATTCAATCAATTATTCTAAACTTTGACAAACACAAATTTCCTAACAACAAAAAAATGGACTTTCATATCATAAAAAACTAGACTTTCGGGAGCACATTTTAATTTGACAACAGGAACAACCCATAATGATTGAAAAAAAATTGATAATCCTAGTGTCTAGGCCAATTATAGTGTGCACATCAATTATTTTACGAAATATTTATCACCTCTCATTACAAACATGTAACAAGTATCTTATGTTTTAGTCTCTATTGAGATTATTTAAACATTAAACCTCACAATTTTCAGCCCTAAAGGCCGAAATGATAAAGTTTCATAATTTAAATCAACATTTAGCCATAGAATTGCATCGATTCACTGATTAAAATCCTTGAACCTGATACAATATTGAAATATCTAGAGAAAATTAAGTTATTGTCGTTAATTAATTAACACTAAAAAATTTTTAATGTCATGTGATGTGTAGGGAAAACGAGGTGTATGTAGACCTTACACATAGACTCTATTTTTATAAGATTTTTTAAAAAAAAAAAAACATTTCAATTTCAAATAGACGCATGAAGTTAATTTTGTCCTTTATTAAGTTTTCCAAAAATGAACAATTTTGGTTTATGTCAAATTTTTTAACTAACTCCGAAAAGTCAAAATTGGCAAGTACAATGCAAAAATTAATTACTTAGTAAATTACTAGCTAAGTAGGTACCACTATTTACCAACCATTTGACATGAACAATATTTTTTTTATTAGATTCCAACATAAACACTTGGATGTGTATAAATGAACTATTAATTGAACAAAAAAAAGTTTGGACCTTTGATCCAAACTATACAAATTTGGTGATACATAATCTTGATCTTGATTGAGCTCATCATCTACAAAAATCTATTGACATATTTTTTCAATATTTGATCAACAAGAATCCTATAACCTTTCTCAGTTGGATGAAAACTATCCCAAAATAAATATTTTGTATCATCTTCACATGTTCCACTGAATTTATTACATAATATTGTCACCTCAATATTTCCTGTGCCACAACACCCTTTCTCTACTTCTTCTAATCCTACAAAAAAAAGATAATCCACAATAACAAAATTGATAAAAATAAGAACACAAGGAAAATTTTGTTATCAGATCACTCTAAAGACATGTACAATTAATTTACATCATATCATCCTAACGGTTAATATCCCTATATATTAGATAACTCAATAACTCGTCCAATTTTTAGCGCGCTTATCTTAATCTGTCCAAATTTAACCCAACCTATTTATTTGGCGTCCTTAGAATAAATCATGAATTTATAGAAGGATAAGTATATAGTACCATATTTTTGAGGGTTGACAATGATATCAAGAAAAGGATTATAGATATCTATCAACACAAGTTTGGATTGGGCCAACTTTTTTGATAGTGAATCAATGGCAATTGAGAATTTTGTGTTAGCCAATTGGGCTGCTTCATTGTATTCCTTGGCACATACTCTATTTGGCCCACCAGCTAATGTTCTTTGTGATGGCAAACATCCTATGGGAGGAATTCCAAATATCCCAATTTTTCTTGCTCCCAAGTTGTACAATTCCTTCAAGAAAAAAAAAATTGAATCAACACAAAATGTAATGCAAATTAATATTTATGATAATTAGTTATAAAGAACTATCAATTTAACCATTTGATATCTGAAACTCATTGATCTGACTGGTTCATGTTTGACACCTTTAAAATTCGACTACAAAGGTATACTTACTTGGAAAAATTCAGTAGCTTTGGACACCATGAGATCAGTATATGAGTCGATATTCTGCTTTAATCGAACTTCAAGAGTGAAATATGTATTTGCAAGATCATCACTTCCAGCAACCACTAAAAATAGGCTATTTTTTAAAATATAGTTGGCTTCTTCTTCTCCAACTAATCCTTCTAGCTTCCCAATATACTCTTTGAATTGATTTAATTGTGTTGATAGAGGTATAGCTAACTGATCAACAAAAACAAAAATTAGCAGCAAAGATTAGTGTTTCCTTTTTATTTTTTCTTGAGTGATAAACTGGCTAGTGTTGTTAAGTATGGCTATATTTTAAATATGTTGCAAAAATGGCTATTTTCTTAACTTTGAGATATTTCAGATTTTAAAATAATTTAAAATCATAAGATTTAAAATTACCGCCAGAGTAGATGTTCGAGGATCATATCCACAACCACCAGATGCAAAGCTTACTCCAGTCTTGAGATCTTCATTTCTCAAATTTGAATCTAGGTAAGCTGGTATATACTCTTTTATCCCCAGTTCTTCAACTGAAAATGGCCAAAATTTGCAATTTTTGTGTTATTTTTATTTGTCATTTTTCAATATCATCCTGGATAAATATCTTATAGTAAAGAATTTTATTTGCCTTATCATGCAAAGTTCAATAATTTAAATTTTACATTTGTATTTTAAACATTATTTGATATATATCATATTACTATTCCTCTTCAAATGGTCAAATTTACCCCCACACTTCGTATTTATTCTTATCTCTGTTAAGAGTATATAAGGGGTAACTGTGAAGGTAAATATGATCATTTTTCGAAGAAAATATATACGTGTGTTTAATTACGTACCTATCAAGTCCGGTGGCGTCTTGCCGTTGCAGAATCTTCCGGTAGGAATACCACCATTGAAGTCTTTACCATAAGGTGGAAAATTACACTTTGCTATAGTTGGAATATAATTATTATTTCCTTGATCAACAATTGAATCTCCAAAGGCAAATACTGCTTTTACCACTACGTTATTTGGTAATTGCACTTTCCCTTCACATGACCTTATAGTTGACATTAATACAAAACAAATAAAATAGTTTAATATAACCATGATCTTATACACCATTAGTATTTTTTGTTGCATAAATAGAAAAAAAAAAAGAGAGAGAACATTTGTAGGTTTTTGTAAAAGCTTTGAAATGTTGGAGTTGAGTATAGAGGCGGCTAGGAATATAAAGGAGTTTAAGTTATACGCATAGTGTAAGAATACTTTTATTTTGAAAATGACATACTTACAAAATAATTATTTGAACATTTACCTCATTTTTTTTCGTATCAGTTGAATATTTAAACTTATTATAAAATAATTACCTATATATATTTAAAATTTGTATCATATCAATATCGGATGTCCACGTCGAAAATTTATAATTGGACATGTGTGTTCACGAGATACACACAAGAAGATTGAAAAAAGTTTCCTTTTGTAATTTAGTCACTTCATATGTATGTTGAATGTTTTAACCTAATTATAGACACGTAAATAAAAAACAATAATGCACACGGACTTGTTAATTATAGTTGTACAAGTGTTCTCGTGAGGAAACTTTCTAAATACCTTTTACATTTACGTCGTCTATTGTTACTCGTCACTTTTATAAATAGATTAATTCAAAATTATAATATTCAGTTTAAAACTTTAATACCTAATATATTTATACGAAACACAAAATATTCAATTCAAAACTAATGTAGCAACAATATTCAATTCAAAAACACAATATTTGATCCAACGCTTTAGTATCCAATTTAGAAATAGAATATTCAATAAAATATTCAATCCATAACCTATAGTAACTACAATAATTCAATTCAATAATGCAGTACGATATTCAATTCGGAAATATAATATTCAAAATTAGCAATTTCATTGTTGCATTAAAAAATGCAACCAAACGTGTTATAATAGCATTCTCTAATATCTAGTGAAGTTTTTTTTTATTAAAAATAATAATAATAAGAGAGACAGACTAATGATATAAACTATAGAGTATTGAAAATATACAACGCAATGTTTTTATTTTTAAAAAAGTGATATACAACACAATTTAATTAAATTTTTAAAACATCACTATCAAATTGTCTTACGTGTGATATATTGGGTAGATTTCTCATAACATGGAGGCCTACAACTGTTGTGAGAATTAATAAGAGTATACACCTCAATAATTCACGATTCAGTGATGATTATTTAGTGACAATAATATAATTATCGTTATATAATACTTAATGATAATTGTAAAAATGAACATTTATAACTAATATCGTAAAAGTTTTAGCTATTTTGAATACAACGATATCAGTTCAATTATTGCTAAATACTTTTTGTAGAAAAATTTATTATCAATAAATATATTTATTGTAACTATGGTATATATACCAATCAACAAATTGATTGGAACAACATATTATTTATATCCCTTTACTAATTCATCTCTCTCTTAAGGGAAAAAAATTTATTAGTGCTAAGATAGAATAAATTCTTCCAAATTATGACATCCAACATTTTGATTTATACATTAAATAATGGTAGTTTGGAGTTAGTTGGTGTGATATATACATGTATTAGGCTATATTTAGTATAGACCACTTTTTTCTCCCTTTTAATTTAAGATGTGTATATGTATGGTCTAAAAAGTCTTTATTTTCTTATTAATATTATCATAATAATGAACAATAATATATATATGTCACATCACATTTTGTGAAAGTTGTCTTTTTGGAAATAAGTCAATTTAAGCTTATTAAATATCTTTTAAGAAAAAAATGTCTTAATCGAGTTAGCTGTTTGTTAATTGTTAAACCATTTACATTCATTGAGCTTAATCAAAAGAGGTTTAACATTGAAGTTTAATATGTGATTTGATGGTACGAGAGCATTAGTCCATAGTTGTCTTTTTATTTATTTTTGAGGTTCGATTAATTCAAATTCTAATTTGAAAATTTCATTGTGATATAAAATGCTTTCTCAAATAGTGAGTGATTTCATGCTCGTCTATCACATGTTTGAAGAATTAAGGATGAATGAAAATGCTTTGTGTAATTTTGAAACATATATTATATATCTTATTTTGTTTACATCAAACAAATTTTAACTATTAGATTTGAACTCTGAAAAAAGTAAAATTAGTAATTAAGGACATTACTATGAACAATTTTTAAATTAAATTCCAACATAAACACTTGAATTATACATAAATGAACTATCAATCACATATACTTGAATTTCAATGTCTTATTACATGAAGTAAGCTTTATAAATATTTTATTTTTTAAAAAAAAACACATGAAGGATGGATTAATTGCACTTTTTTTTTAGACTTTTGACTCAAAGTTAACAAACTAGGTGAATATACATCTTGATTGATTTAGTTTTATTTTTTAAAGTCAAACTCTTCATTTAGAAGAATTGGTTGACATATTTATTGAGGAGTTGATCAACAAGAATTTTGTAACCTTTTTCAGTTGGATGATAACTATCCCAAAATAAATATTTTGTATCATCTTCACATGTCCCACTAAATTTATTGCATAATACTGTCACTTCTATTTTTCCTGTGCCACAACACCCTTTATCAACTTCTTCAAATCCTACAACAAAATCATAATAACAAAAAATAAGAAATAAAGATTAAAAAGGAGAAGCACAAAGAGTCTAAAAAATAAAATGATCTCATGAAAATATGACTTGTCGAACTCATTCGTTGGCCTATTAGGTATCCCAAATTGTTCTACGAAAAATCTAGTCAAAATATTTTGGGAAATCTATCACTATATACAGTTAAAACAAACTTATTTACCAATATGATCAAAATATACAAAACATATACACTGAGTACATGAATATATTTTTTGTATCTTGTATAGTATATGTTTATTTGTAGTTAAATATACAAAATATGTATTTGTTGGCAGTTTTGTTAACTAGACCACTCAGGAATTAAATTGTAATCACATCAAATATTTTTAAAAGATATTTCTTTTGTTTGATGTGTTATATAGTCACAATAATAAAGAAAGAAAAATTAGTATGTTTTAAAACAAAGTATAACTTAGTACGGCGTTTATCAGTCATACTGCTCCAACGCGTTTTAACCAAAATAAATTTTAGACCGATCACTCAAATCATCTTGATCCGTTCAGATTCAACTCAATCTGCCTATCTGACATTCCCAGAATATGTAAGTAGAGATGTCAAACATGTGAATTAGGTTGGATTTGAGCAGATCAAAATAAATTGAGTTATTGATAAATGAGGGATTAGTGTATTTTACCATATTTTTTAGGGTTGACAATGAGATCAAGAAGAGGATTATATATTTCTAAGAACACAAGCTTGGATTGGGCCAACTTTTGGGATAATGAATGGATTTGAGTAGAGAATTTTGTGTTGGCCAATTGGGCTGCTTCATTGTATTCTTCAGAACACACTCTATGAGGCCCACCAGCTAGTGTTCTTTGTGATGGCACACATCCTATTGGTGGAATTCCAAATATCCCAATTTTTCTTGCTCCTAAATTGTACAATTCCTTCAAGAAAAAAATAAAATAAAATAAAATGAATCAACTAAAATTTAATATGTAAATTAGAAATAAATAACTATATGTTTCCTCTTCATATATTGAGAATTTTTTCACAACTCTGACACGTATTGTTTGCTTTGATCCAACAGACTTCACAAATTTATCTGTTACACCACTATTGAGCCCAAGCATTGAATACCATTATGAACTTTTGTTATCTCTCGTAAAACTCTTTACTTTTCATCTTTTACTTCAATATAAAATTCCTCTAAAATATCATGTGCACAGTCTAGAAACTAAACTAGCTTTTCAGTCCTTCTCTATCCGCGTGCTCTCCGTTATGAACATCACCATGCAAAGTAGACAATACGTGTCATAGACATGAATCATGACAACTTCTGACGGTTTTCTAAACAAATTGGAAATAAAATAAAAATTTGGAAAAGATAGCAAGTATAAGGTATACTAACTTGGACAAATTCAGAAGCTTTGGCCACCATGAGATCAGTATATGAGTTAACATCCTTCTTTAATCGAACTCCAGCAGTGAAATATGTATTTGCAAGATCATCACTACCAGCAACCACCAAAAAAAGGCTATTTTTTAAAATATCATTAGCTTCTTCTTCACCAACTAGCACTTCTAGCTTGGAAAGATACTCTTTAAACTGATTTAATTGTGTTGATAGAGGTATAGCTGACTGATTTAACATAAACAAAAATGGAAAAAAAAGGAACAAAACTTAGTTTGTGTTTTTATTTCAATTTTCTTTGCATGACAAAAATGGTTAGTGTTGTAAATATGGCTATATTTGTAATATGTTGCAAGAAGTGGCTATTTTTTAAATTTTATAATCACACAAATATTACGAGTAAATCAATGGGAATCACATAAAATTACCACGATGGTAGCTGTAAGAGGGTCATATCCACAACCACCAGATGCAAAGCTTACTCCAGTTATGAGATCTTCAATTTTCAAATTTGGATCTAAATAAGCTGGCACAAAATCTTTTATCCCCAATTCTTCAACTGAAATGGTTAAATTTGCAATTTATGTTATTTGTATCACAACCTGAATTTTTAAAAATCTTTTATAATATAATAAAGAATATTCCTTGCATTAATAATTAAATTCAATTGACAAGGTGCATGACATCAAAGAATATATTGAGATTGTTTTGTCACAATTTGATTTTAATTTGCACTTATGGCCACTATGTAACCAACACATCCATTTTCCAAAACAAAGTAGAAGAGAAAAAAATTATATATTTTATTTCTTTGAGGTATAAATGCTTAAACCTAACTACTAAATACAGTTGTAATTAACAAGTTAGTTGCATACAGTTGAATTTTGTGTATATTAATAAATGTTAAGGTCACGAGAAACTCCATTCTATAATAGACAAAAAAAATTTATATATAAAATAATGCATTTTGTTTCTTCAGAAAATGGAATTTTAATTAACGATATGCTTTTATGAATTA